TGACCCCAACTCTCTCAGCCTGTCTTTATAGGAGAGGTGCTCCAGCCTTCTAATCTTTGTGGCCCTTCTCTGGACTCGTTCCAGCAGGTCCACTCTTACGTTAGGGACCCCAAAGCTGGATGCAATACTCCAGGTAGGGTCTTAAGAGAGCAGAGTAGAGGGGGAGAATCACCTCTCTCAACCTGCTGGCCATGCTGCTTTTGATGCAACCCAGGATGTGCTTGGCTTTCTGGGCTGCAAGCACACATTGCTGGCTCACGTTGAGCTTCTCGTCAACCAATACCCCCAAATCCTTTTGCTCAGGGCTGCTCTCAATCCGTTCTCTGCTCAGCCGGTGTTTGTGTATGGTATTGCACCGTACTGGAAAGGCTGCTATAAGGACTCCCCAGAGCCTTCTCTTCTCCAGACTGAACGACCCCAACTCTCTCAGCCTGTCTTTATAGGAGAGTTGCTTCAGCCTTCTAATCATCTTTGTGGCCCTTCTCTGGACTCGTTCCAGCAGGTCCACTCTTACGTTAGGGACCCCAAAGCTGGATGCAATACTCCAGGTAGGGTCTTAAGAGAGCAGAGTAGAGGGGGAGAATCACCTCTCTCAACCTGCTGGCCATGCTGCTTTTGATGCAACCCAGGATGTGCTTGGCTTTCTGGGCTGCAAGCACACATTGCTGGCTCACGTTGAGCTTCTCGTCAACCAATACCCCCAAATCCTTTTGCTCAGGGCTGCTCTCCATCCGTTCTCTGCTCAGCCGGTGTTTGTGGATGGTATTGCACCGGCCCACGTGCAGGATCTTGCCCTTGGTCTTGTTGAACTCCATGAGGTTCGCACAGACCCACCTGTCAAGCCTGTCCAGGCCCCTCTGGATGGCATCCCTTCCATCCAATGTGTCAACCACAGCACACAGCTTGGTGTCATTGGCAAACTTGCTGAGGGTGCACTCAATCCCCTTGTCCGTGTTGCCAACAAAGATGTTAAACAGCACCGATCCCAATACCGACCCCTGTGGAACCCCACTTGTCACTGACCTCCACTTGGACATTGAGCCATTGACCACAGCTCTTTGAGTGTGGCTATCCAGTCAATTCCTTAGTCACCGAGTGGTCCATTCATCAAATCCATGTCTTTCCAATGTAGAGACAAAATCTATGTCTCTCCAATTTAGAGGCAAGGATGTTGTGTGGGACAGTGTCAAACGCTTTGCACAAGTCCAGGTAGATGATATCTGTTGCTCTTTGCTTATCCACCAATGCTGTAACCCTGTTGTAGAAGGCCACCAAATTTGTCAGGCATGATTTGCCCTTAGTGAAGCCATGTTGGCTGTCACCAATCATTTCCTTATTTTCCATGTGCCTCAGCGTAGTTTCCAGGAGGATCTGCTCCGTGACCTTGCTGGGCACAGAGGTGAGACTGACTGGCCTGTAGTTCCCTGGGTCTCTCTTTTTTCACTTTTTAAAAATGGGGGATTATGTTTCCCCTTTTCCGGTCAGTGGGAACTTCACCAGACTGCCACGACTTCTCAAATATATGAAGGATAGTGGCTTAGCAACTTAATCCGCCAGTTTCCTGGGGACCCACAGATGCATCTCATCAGGTCCCATGGACCTGTGCACCTTCAGGTTCCTTAGATGGTCTCGAACCTTGTCTTCTCTTACAGGGGGTGGTTCCTCATTCTCCTAGTCCCTGCCATTGTCTTCTGCAAATTGGGTGGTATGGCTAGAGCACTTGCCAGTGAACACTGAGGCAAAAAAGTCATTGAGTACCACAGCCTTCTCCATATCCTGGTTAAAGAGGTCTCCTGTTTCCTTCCTGAGTGGGCCCGTGTTTTCCCTAGTCTTCCTTTTGTCACTGACGTAGCTGTAGAGGGTTTTCTTGTTGCCCTTGATGTCCCCGGCCAGATTTAACAATCGGGGCTTTAGCTTTCCTAACCAGTTCCCTGACTGCTTAGGCAATTTCTTGATATTTCTCCCAGGCTACCTGTCCTTGCTTCCACCCTCTGTAGGCCTCCTTTTTGTGTTTGAGTGTGTCCAGGAGCTCGTTGTTCATCCATGCAGGCCTCCTGGCATTTTTTTCCCCGACTTCCTCTTTGTTGGGTTGCATCACTCCTGAGCTTGGAGGAGGTGATCCTTGAATGTTAGCCGGCTTTCTTGGGCCCCTCTTCCCTCTAGGGCTTTATCCCATGGTACTGTACCAAGCAGATCCCTGAAGAAGTCAGTCTGCTCTCCTGAAGCTAGTGGTAGCGAGCTTGCTGTGTGCCCTCCTTGCTGCCCTAAGGATCTTGAAGTCCACCCACGCTGCCCTTGAGCTTCACATTCCCCACCAGTCCCTCCTTGTTGGTGAGAACAGGGTCCAGCATGGCATCTCCCCTCATTTGCTTCTCTATCACATGGAGAAGGAAGTTATCATCAACACATTCCAGGAACCTCTTGGATTTCTTATGCCCTGCTGTGTTGTTCCTCCAACAGATATCGGGGCGGTTGAAATCCCCCATGAGGAGAAGGGCTTGTGAACGTGAGGGTTTGTGAATGTGATCCTCTATTTATCCGGTAGAGGATAGAGTTTTGTATTTATTTCTTTTCTGTGGGGATTTTGAAACAAGTGTTTGTGACTGATAGGAATTACCTGTTGGTGTGTTACGTGGTGAACATTTTTCAATATGTAAACGTACTAGTAAAACACATTGGAAAACTCTTATAAAGGCTCTTCAAAATGCCACTTCAGAAAGGAATTCTTGGATTCTTGGCAGCGATGTAAAGATCTTTCTAGCAAGAAATTAGCAGAAGATTCCTTAAGACTCCCATGCATTCCTCCCTCAGAATTTGTCACAACTGCGTAAACCACTGTGAATCTAACTGGATAATTTAGGTGCAGTCTTGTGACAACAGTTTAATTTTCAGTGCTGTTGTGCCATGATTTCTTGCCTTGGTGGGGAGGTTGTACGGGAGGTGTTGTAGGACTTGCAAGGATTGTCAGTATCGGTGTCTGAGGGCTGGCTAAAACATTGCCTCGCCAGTGATGCGTGTGCGCGCAGCATGTATCCGCCAGCTGTTTCCCCCTTTCTCACCACGCTCATTCTGACAGTCCTAGAAATCTTTGCAATTTATACCTCCTCTTCTCTGCCTCTTACTGCATTTTGATAATTTATTTTTTTCTTTTGACCTGCCTGTAATTGCTTTTTCACATGTGTTTTGTATTTGGATTAATTACAGCTAATACTCAGATAAAACAACAGAAAGTTCCAAACTGTATGCTTTATACAGGAGTACTAAGGATAGGAAGGCAAAACTGTGAGGACCCTTAGTTGCTCTGGGGAATGGCTGTGGTTTGGTGTTAGAAATAGCTGATGGTACTGGAATGGCATGGGGCGACTGCTTTAAACCGGGGAGTGAAAGCAAATATGTAATGATTTGGTTTGCTATCCAATCCACTGTTTAGTACACTAGGGCAGTATATTGAGAAAACACAAGCTACTTGGTAAAGTTTCTTAAATATTTTGTAGGGGGCTTTGGAAAACATTTCTAAGGCTTGCTGCTTTCTGTTGAGAGTTATTTCTAGCCTTTTTGATATTATCTAAAGAAATTACTAGGAAGATTTATTTTGTGTGTGTTTGAACAGAGACAGTAGATTGTATGCTTTCATGATTCCATTTTGGTGGACTTGGCAGTGTTAGTTGGACTGGATGATTTTAAAGGTCCTTTCCAACATAAATAATTCTATGATTCTATGCTGAACTTAAATTAAATGCTATTTGAGAAATTTTTACCTACTTATTCTAAAGAAAGGTTTGTGAAACATAAGTAGTTCTGTGCAGAAGGACGTTTGCAGTATTTGAAGTATATAGATTTATCAGAATAAATTTATCACAGGAAATTTCCTGATGTTAAAGATTATGAGGCATCAGAAAAGTGTTTTATGTCAAGCCATCTCTAGAACTTTTAGGATTTGGAACAGGAAATAAGAAAATAAATAAATAAGAAATAAATTAAAAAGCAAGAATTGGTTTCCAGTCAGACACGTGACTCTTGTGCCTTGGAAGGTTTGACCAGGCAGGGATGCTTCACGTTTGTGTGATGAAAAAGTTGTTCAAGGCTTGTCTCCTATTTGTATGATGTTCATTTCATTGTTTGCGTTTGAAGCTGCTGGTGGACTTTCTGTTGCCTTCATCTGTACAGGGATGACCCTTGTAGGCATCACTAAAACTGGGTGCTGCACCTGCTCACCCTCCGCAAAATATCATGTAGCCTAAGAAAGGATTAGCTTAGCTAAGAAAAAAACCTCATGAGCATTTCTGTTTCTGTCTCTTCTGTTCCTCCTAATAATGATTCTGCCCATTTTGCAACCCTTATTATTGGTCAGAGCCTTGTGTCCCTATCTTGGGAACTCAGCAGGCGTCTTTCCTCCCATCTTATTGATGGGATATGAGTGGTTCATAGCTGGGAATAGAGGCTGTGTTCCTAATACCGTATCTCAAAGCCCTCTTAGCTGGCTTAATAGAATGTAATGAGTGTAAGCATTTAGCTTTTTTCTATTTAGATGGAACTACTCTTGCATACTCCTTAAAATCTACGGATAAATTAATGCAATGTAAAGAGTGCATTGTAACTACATGCAGTAGTTATAACTCTTCTGCTCATCTGCTATTTCCCATGCTGCCCACAGGTCTAAGGTAGTGGCCAGCAGATATCTATGTAGTTAAACAAGTGGTTGGTGCACCTGAGGAGTAATGGGATGATGCAGCTTTTATCAGGCAGAGCCATTTGTCTGGCTCAAGTAGTGTAATGCACATATTTTAATAATAAGTTCAGATGTGTATAGTGATTTATTTCATTTTATAGAACAGCTAAACATAAGAAAACTTCCTTCCCAAAACAGTGCAGGGCTGGAATGTTGGTAAACTCGAATACACGAATGAGAAAATGAATTCTTCAGTTCCTCTGCTGATGTTCATTGATCATAAATACAGATTGAATTACAGTGTAATGACTGTATTTCTCTTTTCAGGACATAAGGGACGCTTTTATGTGATAGAATGGATGAACAGTCACAAGGCATGCAGGGGCCTACTGCTCCACCATTTCAGCCACAGGTACTTTTATTTTTTTTTTAACAGTTACTTAAGAGTGGATGTTACCATTTCTTAAAAAGAAAACATTATGCCTTGTGGGGACAAAGAAGCTGTAAACAGATGGGATGTATTCTGGTGATCTTTAAATTAGTTTAATATCGGTCCTATACTTCATAGAAAATATTTACTTTTCATTTTTGGCTCCACTGACTTTGAGGGTTTGGAGCTGGAGTGGGAGTAGGAAGCAAAGATGAAGGCAGTTGTTTTCCTGAGAAATGGTGAGCTATTAAACACTATGTTTTGAAATTGTATCAGAATTACCATATTTATCTCAGACTATTACCTTCAAGTTTCTTTTCTTACACCTCCTGATGGTGATACTATATGATTTAGTGCCATTACATGATGAAACGAGGCAAGAGAAATTCCCAGTAGCTGTAGTTCTGTTAGAAAGAAGATGCATAAGGAATTTAATCTTTGGATATTTGTTGGTGGTGTAAAACACAGAAGAAAGATTATCTGATAAGAGATAATGTTGAGATACCGCTTTTTGACATTTTTAGGAGGTAATTCTTTGAAGGGAGTACAAAAGCCTGTAGAGGAATACCCTAAAAATATTTACTGTGGTGACCATTCCAAAGTAATAGCTGGACAGTTCTTTACAAAGCTGGAACCTAAATTTTGTAATTTTCTTGTTAACAATATAGGTGATAGTCATTTGTGCCCTTTATTTTACGAAAACTAAGGTGAATTCTAGCTTGTGAAACTTAGTAAATTTACAATAACCAGCTTTCCTTAGCTCTAGTGTTTTTATTATACCCTTGTGATAACAAAAAATCTGGATTTAATAGCATTTATACCAATGCACGCCAGTTAGAAATCTAAGACATGCGTAGCTATGCATACAGATATTTTGAGAAAATACATTTGTAATATTGAAACAAAAAAAGAATACTTAAAATTGATATTATGAATATGATAATGGGTCCCCATTATTATTACAGTGGTTTTCATTCCTGACTAAAGAGAAGATAGAACACAGCTGATTAAGGTTTTTGTATTTCTGGGAAACCTTCCTATGTTTTTTGCTTGCTGACTACAAACAGGTTTCATATTTCCTTATCTGTCTACTGAGTATTTGAACACCTGTTTCTGATTCACAGAATCGACTTTTTGAAGACTGGTTCAATTTTAGGAATATTGCTCTAACCTACACATTCAGTTTATGAATCCATACTAGTAGAATATGCTTCTAGTTTTACTGTTCCAAGTAATATGGCTCATCTACAGGTATCCAGTTTCCTTTGCGGTAAACTAAGGACAGCCTAAAAACAATACTTCTGTAATCAACTAAACGCTTTCTACAGGAGAAGAAACTAATGTTTATTCTCAGCTTTGATGAACTGTCAAGCATTTTCGTAATCTGTGTCTCATTATTCTTTTTTAAAATCAATTGCTGTGTAAACTGCACTAAGTGTGATTTTTTTGTGGTTTGATTTTTTTTTCTTTTTTTTTTTTCTTGAGACAAAAGGTTTTGGGTTTGTGGATCGGAGCTGGACTTACATCAGAATATTGACTGTTTTGCATTTCAAGGGATAAAGAGTGAAGGGGAGCAGGCATGGTCTGATAGTCCTGTTGCCAGAATAGTATTAAAATAGTCATTCAGTGACATTCTCATCTTTTTAATCCAAATTGTTTTTCCTGTGAGCCAGATACGTACTTTAATTCTTATGGATTTCTCTGCTAGTAGAGCATGCTTATGGTGAAAATTAGTAATGAAAAGATGTTACTGCACTAATTGCTGATACATTTAGGAGGAGCAAGAACTAAAACTGAAAATACAGAAGGTTGTGAGCAAGAGGTGAAGTAATGATTTGTGAAGAATTGTGTGTCAGGTTTTGATAAACCTGTGAATATCTTCTAATTGTCTTGGTCATTATACTGTACAAATATATGCTGATATTCATAGCAAATTAAATTACCCTGATAACTGAAAATTGTTGATGGAGGAGCATGAGACTAGGCATACAGTATAATGGCTTAGTCCCAATTAGTCTGAAAACACCATTTCACAAAATCACAGAATGGTTGAGGTTGGAAAGAAACTTTGGAGGTCATCAGCCCTTGTGCTCAAGCAGGATCCTCCTACAGCAGGCTTTCCAGGACTATGAGCAGACTGTTATTGTATATCTCCAAGGAAGGAGACTCCACAACCTCCCTGGGCAACTTGTGCCAGTGCCTAGTCACCCTTACAGTGAAAAAGTGTTACCTGAGGTTTGGACAAAACCGCCTGTGTTTCATCTGTGACCATTGCCTCTTCTCCTGTGTGCACCACTGAAGAGGGCCTGGCTCTGTGTTCTTAACACCGTCCCTTCAGGTATTTGTACACAGTGACAAGTTTCCCCCCTGAACCTTCTCTTCTCTAGGCTGAACATTCACAGCGCTCTCAGCCTTTCCTCATACGAGAGATGCTCCAGGGCCCTGGTCATTAGCGGCCCTTTGCTGGACTCTATCCATTATGTCTATGTGAGGGCAGCCCAGAACTGGGCACAGCGCTCCAGGTGTGGCCTCACCAGTGCTGAGTAGAGAGGAAGGATCAACTCCCTCGATCTGCTGGTAACACTGTTCCTAATGCAGCGCAGGACACCATTAGCCTTTTTTGCCTGCCGGCTCATGTTCAACTTGGTCTCCACCAGGACCCCCAGGGTCTGGCTTTCAAAGCTGTTTTCTAGCAGGTCAGCGCCCAGCATGAACTGGTGCATGTGGTTATTGCTGCCCAGATGCAGGGTGCTCTACTTCCCTCTGTTGAACTGCACGAGGTCCCTGTCAGCCCATTTCTCCAGCCTGTCGAGTCCCTTCTAGATAGTAGAGCATGACCCTCTGGTGCATCAGCCATTCCTTTAAGTTTTGTGTCATCAGCAGACTTGCTGCGGGTGCGTTTTGCCTTATCATCCAGATCATTAATGAAGACGTTAAGGAGGATTGGACCCAGTATCAACCCCTTAGGTACACTGCTAGTTGCTGGCCTCCAACTAGACTTCGTGCCACTAGAAGCTCATTTTCTATTTGGAATTAAGTGCCTGAAATCTCTGTCATAGTCTGTTATCTACAAAGTTAAAACACTGTACTTTATTTTATCACAAGGACATTTTGAAAGTGAGGATATCTTAAGTATTCCCAAACCTCTTAGATATTGTAAAAAGGATTATGCAAGAAGGTAGGAAAATATGGATTAGTAGTCTGATACAGTAGACTTCAAATTCTAGAACTTCCTTGAGCAGAATGAGAGCTTTTTAGCATCTGAAGAGAGAAAAATGTGACTCTCTTGGTAAACCAAAGGCAGCATATATCCCTTACTGTTTGGTGGTGGTTTTTTTCTTCCCCTAGGCTGAAGAACAGTAGTTTATCAAGTCTCTTCTACAGAAGACATTGCATATCTCTGCTCATTATTGCTATTCTGCTCTTTGTTTTCTAGTTCCTCTGTGTTACCCTCAAAACGAGGGGTCAGAGCTCTGTGCAGTATTCAGTGCACACACAGTAGACTTGAGTAGTGAAACATTTTGTTTTCTGTTTCATTCAAATGTTTATCCTAAAAATGTCTAGCTTTCTTTTTGATGGTGACTGACCAATCAGTTTAACTTTTCAAGGAGGTTTTCCATGGTGTTTCGTAGATCTCTTTCCCATGTGGTAATAGCTAATTTAAAAATCATGATTCTCTGTCTTGAGGGTTGTGTTTCACATTAAGTTTCTGATCACTAGCCTTGGGGTGCTAGTACTGAGTGCTGGGGTGGAAAACTAAGCGAATCATCTGCAAGGCTTTGCAGTCATATTTTGAGCTGGTTGTCTTGGATAAGTTTGTACTGTAAAGAAACCTTATTGCTTCATTATATATATTGAATAGTGCAGTTTCCTTTGGGATTTCATTGGTAACTTCTCTGAGAAAATAATTGTTCTGCTGCTCTTTCTCATCTTATAGCTGGCTATTAATCTGCTCAACGTTCTCTCTCAACCTGAGAGAGCTTAGTTTTATAGGTTAAGAATCCTTATGGAAGGAACCTGGTTGAATATTTTAAAAAAATGTGTGGTGCGATTTCTTCAGCAGAAAAGCCCCATTAGGAAAAACTTGTCTCACTCCACTGTTAACTGCTTATTAGAATCTCTAAATTGGTGCAATTTGGC